TTATTTAGATTTTTTTTAAATCTCATCCCTTTTAACTTTCCCTCTTTCAGGAAATTGAGATCGTGAGTTTGGAGATGGGAAATCGGTCGATGATGGCAGAAATTGTATTTAATAAAGAGAAATCTATTTGTTATTTATATTTTTTTTTTTTTTTTATATTTTTATTTTTTTATTTTTTTTTTTTTTTTTTTTTTTTTTTTTTTTTTGAGTGATTTTGAGCAAGTTTTTCAAATTCCTTGAGAATCTCAACAAAAGAAGTAGATAAATCATCGCATGAACATTTTTCATTTGAATTTACCTTATTTTCAGTTGTCATGAAGCACATGTTGGTGACAACACTTTCATCCCATATGTTGCTTAGATTGCTTTCTTTTTTATGAATATTTTCTTGTTCGAACACTCGATTCTGTTGTAAATGAGTTTGTCACAATCATAGCAAATGATCTTTTGCTTTTCTTCTCGTCATTTTCCTCTTTTTTGTAAAAACTTCTTAATTTCTTAATAAGAAGAACTAGATCGTCAAGTTCTTCATTGCAGATTATATCCGACCTAGTAATGTTTTCATTACCCTACTTCGAAGAGTTCCCATTGGCTGGAGAGTTCGACTACCACAATTCCTTGCTTGCATATTTGGTATTCGACACAACATATTAAAGAAGAAACATTCGACAAATTTTAAAAATTATAAAGTTATGTTAATTTACTATTATCAAGTCCATCGTATACTATAGTCAATAATGTTGGACAAATATATGTCATATGTTTACAAATTTTATTTATTGGCTTGCTTAATATACTTGTTGATTTTTAATTGTCATACATTGAAAAATAACTTGTCAAAATCTTGAGCAAAAAGTTACAGGTTATATCTGAATTACACAGGCAGTTCAATTTTCCTTATGCAATTTATAACTGGGCCAGATCCTACACGTGTAAAGGGTTGAATTTTGAAGATTATTTGTTGGACATATAGGGCCATTTTGGAAATAATATGCATTTTTAAGTTGGGCCAGAATATTCACTTGTACTGCTGGGCAAGATTATTTCTTGGACACGTGTTTATATTTGGGATAATTGTGCATAATTTAATTCTTGGGAATGCATATGTTATTTATTTAATATATGCAATTTTAGGATGTATTAAATTATGAATTATATTTTGTGCATAATCGTAACTTGTTAGTTTAAATTATGCTATTAGAATCTTTTTCATAATCGTTTATGCATAAAAGGATAATGTCTAGTGATCTATATAATTTTTTTTTATTTAATAATTAGCCACAACATCTTTAATTACATAAAATTATATATTAAGTTTAGGATCACATAAGGATTAACGACATTAGATTGTAATTAATTATACTGGATATAACGAATTTTATCCCACATGAATTTTTATTATATTTATATAATTAATTAGAATAAAATATCAAATTATTTCATAATATGCCCACAGGAATTATGAATAAGTGCATAATTTGATTGTTTTATTATAAAGATTGGTTTTAGGATAGAATATCAAATTATTTTCATAATGTACCTATATGAATCAAGTACATAATTTGATAATTCTACCATAAGGGATAATTGAATATACTTGAATTAAAATTTTAGCCCACGTGTAATTTTTATGTCATTATATTCA